TGATTATTTTCTATGCTTTTAAAAGAGCTGTAGGATGTAATAATGATGAAACTCCCAGTAGCATCCAAACCGGCCGCTGTTTGAGACTCCTTGATAGTATTCCATTGACAGGCGTTGTCTGTCGCTCTTCTTCTTTCAACCGCTGTCTGTTGCGTTTCCCAGAGTGATGACCACTTGCACTGTATAAGATTTGGTTTACGAAACTTGTTGTTACGTATAAGGTTATGACTTCTCAAACCCCCACTGCCTCTCCGGAAGATCCTATTGCTGATCTACGGAACTTCCGATCGCTTTCCGTTAGTGGATCTAAAATAAAGTAAGTCGCTTCGAAGACTTCATAATAGCTCATTGACTGGCACTTTAGTGGTGCGAGTCTAGAGTGGACTAATGTCGACTTCAGTATAAAGGACAAGAAGATTCTCATTGACTGCACTGGAATGGTGCGGCCAGGAGAGCTCACAGCTGTTCTTGGTCCCTCCGGCTCTGGCAAGTCCACATTGATGAACGTTTTGGGTGGACGACAGAGCCTACGTGGGAACGGCAGAACTTTTGACGGTGAAATCTCCTTCAACGGCAAGGTTCAAGATCCTTTCAATTTCCGAAGTCACATAGCATATGTCATGCAAGATGACCACCTTACTGCCACTGCTACTCCGAGGGAGATCCTGGAGATGTCAGCCCGTCTGAGGATGCATGATCAGAGCAAGGCTGAAGTAAGATGTTAACTACAAGGCCTTTGCCATCGTGTTCGTGAGATTATTCTTTTCTGCATAGGTCGAAGCTTTGGTCACGGATCTCCTCGATTCGTTGAAGTTGACCTCGTGTGAAAATACCGTGGTGGGTAACGACGTGATCAGAGGCATCTCCGGCGGTGAGCGAAAGCGCACGTCGGTTGGTATGGAGCTCATCTCCAAGCCGCAGATGATATTCCTTGACGAACCTCTCTCTGGCCTCGATTCTTATGCTGCTGTAACTACTATGAAAGTTCTCAAGGACCTGGCTCGGTCAGGTGTAGCCGTGATGGTAACAGTCCATCAACCGTCGAGTGAGATATACTCTATGTTTGATAACACTCTGGTTATTTGTAGCGGTAGAATGGTGTACTTGGGCCCGACTGCTGATCTCAAAGCCTTCATCCAGGATAGTACATCGAAACAGTGTCCATCTGATTACAACCCGGCTGACTTCGTCCTCTCTGAGCTCCAAACCGCGTCTGAGGAAGAGATAGAGAAACTGGCTGCAACCTATAAAAAGAAGGCCCAAGTCAGAATCATACCTGGCATAAAAGCGTCTAGGGCGAAAGGCGACGATGCTCCACCGTTGAGGGCAAAGTCTAGGCCATCTAGTATGACGGTGCAGTTGACGGAGCTTTTCCTTCGTGATGCCAGGGACACGTTCCGTAACAAGCCAGTACTCATTGCTCGATATAGCGTTCTTATCATCCTCAATCTCCTCTTTGGTTGTGTATTCTTCGATGCTGGCTCTACCCAAAGTGAGGACTATTGGCTGACTAACGTTGACAAGTTCATCCCTTACTATGGTGGTATGGTTACTGTCTGTATATCTGCTATGATGGGGTCGGCTCAAGCGACCATCTTGCACTTCCCTGAGCAACGTGGTATCTTTCTCAGGGAGTATGCCAGCAATATGTACTCCACCATTCCTTATACGATCGCCAAGATGATGGTTGAGTTCCCATTATCTCTTCTCGACTCCATTGTACAAGTCCTCATTGCGTACTATATGATGAACTTCCAAGGCAGCATATTCTACTGGTTCCTCATATCATGGGTTATGAATGAATAGCCTATTGACAATAGGGATATTAGCAGTGAGCAGTAGTGAGCAGGCATATTACATATACTGATATTGGGGGAAGCTGCACTATGTGCAGAATGATCTCCACGGTCCTGAACAACTTCAGGAATCCGGTGCGAGTCGCGTAATGTGACTTGCGATTGTGCCCTACGCACGCCCAAACTCCGTAGTTATAGATAATGTGCGACTGCCCCGATTGAAGCCCCGATAGAAAACTTAGTCTCATCCAAGAAATTTTCCGGGGTCAGAATTGAATCGTTGTAGCGCATGTGGTTAGCGGCTTCTCGAATAGTGGAGTCGACTCTTCCTCCCCTACTCGATTCTTGCACTATACGTCCTCTCAATATGATATGAGATCCATTCATTCATGGGAGTAGGGCCCTCAGGTTGAGGGCCTCAGCGCGAGTTGGTCTTACTAACAGCGAGATTGAACCCCCAATTCGTCGAAATTGGAGTTACTCTGGTCATGCCGACGAAATCGACTCCTGTTTCAAGCGCCTGCTAAACTGGCCTTCTTGCAACCTATCGGAAGCACATGTTATTCACTCAGATAAATTGATCATATTAGCAGCGAAGAATACCATCTGAAAATCCGATTGTATTGGACCGATACTCAACGCGTAGCTATGGAGGACTCGTGAAACTGAATGATAGTTCCTCGTATTAGCAGCTGACATTGACATTGAAAAAATTGAGCAGATAGCATATTCTATGTGGGACATATTGCGAGGGCCCAGCATGTAGCGATGTGCGTGTGCGGAAGTTGCCTATCAATGTGCTTTTGGCGACTTCAGAGTATTTAGTATGAGCAGCACATAAAGCTTCATCCTATTTATGTGAGTGGAATCTAGCATGAAACCGATCATAAAAACTTCAATGGTGTTGAGTCGCAGCACTGTGTCGGACACTATGTCGAGAAAATGAACGACTGAGATTGAACTGTTCAACGCCACTTATGATATTAGTAGCCGAGATGTTAGAGTGCCCGTCTAAGCGGCGGCATTTTCCTCTAGATCACGCTCCGTGAAAATCCCACCGAGACGAGAAGTAGTGGTGGTAGCAGATGAGCCACTAGTGACGATTGATACAGCTGTGTCGACGTAGTCTGCACCGGACCACTTCTGGTGGGCTAGTATTTCGATGCCATTATCCCTCTCAACCCTCTGGACCTCTCTCATATAAGCCAACATATCATCCTCACGATAACTTCTGGCCAATAGATCCATGTGCAGACCCGACACGTGGAAACCCGCCAGTGGGATAAACTGAAAAACGAATCCGAGTTTACCTATCTTGGTCTGGAAGTCGCGAATCTCAGCATCAGACATACCCATCTTATCCCAGAATAGACTCGGGAATACGTTATAGGCGAACATCGCAGTGCAGTGGATCTTCCTGACGCCCATGGTGAACTCCTTGGCCTGAGCATAGTCTGGTCTCTTGGCTTCCATCCACGTCATATCGGCGTACGGCGCAAATGAACGACTACGACTTATACACATCTTCGTACCACCTTGTATGCGGTAGAAACCCTCTCGAGTACGAGGAGCATCCCAACACCAGTAGGGCAGATCATCACCGAGCAATTTCCTAGCTTCCGACCTCATCTCACGTATGCCCATCGACAAACAAATCTCATCCCATACCTCAGTAGGCTTCCCCATCTCCCTCAACTTCATCGAGATGAGCTCAGGGAAGGTGCACAGATGCGCCTTGTCAATCCATTCCGCCTCGAGCGTTGGTATTTCATCAGAATGGCCATTTCTGATAGCATTATCGACAATGTATCTCATGGGTAGGTCATTTGTGATTTGTGGATTTGTGGCTCCCAAAATGAAGGGATGGTCGCGGTCGTCGACGTTATTGTCGAGAAGGGTGGCTATCTCGGCATCAGTCCTCGCTATGATGATGGTATCCGTACCAAGAATATCGGCCGTCAACCGGGCCGCAACGAGCCTCTCTACGTGTTCCCTGGTAGAAACTAGAACCTTACCACCCAAATGGCCACATTTCTTCGTGGATGCCTTCTGGTCTTCTAGATGTATGCCTGCAGCTCCCTTCTCGATCATCATCTTAGTCAACCGCATAACGGCAGTAATACCACCATGACCACTATCTCCATCAGCAATAAGTGGTGCTAGAAAGTCTGTCTGATGTGAGCATCAAACCCGTTACGGTTGGACTGCTGGAGTGTTTGGCTCTGTCGTGAAAACACTGAGCCTGAAGATCTGCTCCCACCTTGTCAGGAACAGTATTAGAGGGGTAATCTCCGAAATCTGGTCCTGGTTCCGTGTTTGAAGAACATGTCGTCGCACACTGCCAACCAGATATATAGAGAGCATCGAGGTACTTGGATGCTTGTATGGCCTGCACAGGATCCAGCACCCCGAGACTTTTGATGAAGGTGCCTCTATCCCTTGCCTCCGTTAGTAACGACCAAAGCTTCTTTGCCATGGCGTTAGATGGATAGGTCGACCGGACATCCTTATTGCCACGTAGACGAGCGACGTCCTCAGCAGTGTAAGGTCTACACGTTGCCTTCCAGCGGGATGATGACCACCACTGGTTCAACTCGGCAACATCAGCAAGAGTAGTGGGGCACGACATTTGTGGGAAAGTCACACCAGGCCTAGAAACTAGTTACGTTTAATAGTCAATCTGGGATACCGAAGTGGCTACGGGCAAGACTCACCCCAGATTGAAGAGGTGACTCAGCCTGAGTAACTCGGGCATTGAAGACGGCGTGCGAACTCACAGCAGCGTATCATGAGAGTCTCCACTTGGTGATCAGAAACTTACATTCACGTGCATAACGACACGCAGTCTGAGTGACGCAGACGACCCACCTTCTGTCATTGTGCGCTCCATGATTAATCCGTACGTAGAGTATCAATGTCGTAGTATTATTCAGTGGCGGTAAAGTGGCTGCAGGAGAAGAGTAACTCCAGCACTTAGCCTAGTCGGTGAGAGGGAACAATTACAAATTTATCTCCCCATTCACCATCGACACGACCACTGGTGTCACCCTCCTACACGCACGCGCAAACTAGCGCCTCAAGTGTCGAGGCTGACCATTGGACGAGTGCCCTGATGAAGCAATTCTGAGCACACTGGCTACAACTAAGCAATTCCCGCGCTCCGCGGACATTCTCGACGTGAGACCAAGGATACTGAGCTCCCAAATGATATGCCAGATCCCACAACAGTAGTCTGCTGAGCAGACTCTGCTCACCAAAGATGCGGAGGAAGTTCTAAGGATCTAGGAGTACCATCGCAAGCGACGCATTCTAAGGAGTCCGTAGTCCTTAGTAAGGACCATGTGACAATCAGGGCAACCAGACCTACTCCGAATTTCGCGGTTTGTCGTGTGCGACAACGGCGAAAGGTATACCAGGTCCTGGCAGGAATTCAGCTAGCAGACCTCGAGACAAGAAGAGGCAGCGTTGACGGAGCGCGTCCTAGACTGGAGGTCATGTCGCCAGTCCAGGGATCTCGCCGCAAACTCGAACATGCCGTGGAAAGAGTATTCATGCGAATGGTAGAACGTTTGTCGGTGACGCTTTGTCCAGCCTTTGCTAGTGAACGTCAGCGAAAGATTGTGCTGGAGGCTGTACTCACAGATAACTGTGGGCTTTTTCTACAAGTGCTATCAGGGCACTCTGAGGGTTTAAGAAGGTACACCTACATTTCTGGAAGAGAAAACAGGACAGGCATAGACAGAGAGTGCAATAACTGTGCCGAAAAGGATGACAACATACATATCTTATTGAAATGCCTACGACCAGGTCGGTCCCATCGACATCCTTCTTTCATGGACGCTGGTGACACTTAGGGCAGATAATAATAAGTGTGAGCCGATGTGAGCCGTAGCGAACTTCTGCAGGAAACTAACGATGGCATACACGGCTAAGACCATGGCGAACGACAGCTCAACTACTGAATCTGAAGCCGAGGAATGACTGCATGTGTGAACATTGAGTACCAGCTGGGTCATTGACTTCTCGAGTCCTGGAGATGAAACTCATGGTCCGCCACGGCAGTGCTAGTGCTTCGGTCGTTGGGCACAGCCCCGCGGTGAGGAGTGGATCCTGCCAGGAGGGAATAATATGGCCCGGTCTGCTCTTTCTGCTCGTTCTGGCGACGTTAGGGCCACCTAAATAGCGCAACAAAGAGCTCATCAAGTGGCTAGCATATCGGCATCAAGTCTGACTAAGCCGGCGACGGCGTTGTACTTTGAACTGACACACCCACGCCGTCAAATGATGAACCTTCCGAGGAGCAGACTCACTAAACTCAACACTGGTCTTTGTTCTCTAGCGATGAGAAGTAAAGCTTAAGTGACCTGGATCTCATCTGAGCAGCTGTAGCAGCGAGAGCTTCCTTTAAAGAAAGAGACGGACAGGTTGAAAACACTCTGACTAGAAGTTGCCTTTCAGCGTATGTGCTGCCACAGCATTGCGACTCTCGCCATTGTCATCCGCGATATAACAAAAGGGTTACTGGTCGTATAGACATATCGGGACAATATGATCTCTGGTACCAATCTCTGCCTTTCGACAGCGACTCGAGGAAGGACACCAGGCGTAAAACTAAAAATCAAAACTGAATACTCTCAACCAACGGTAAAAAGAAGATGGGCTCAGCTCATAGAATGCTGTTAGTCGTATCTTGAACATCTTCCCTGCTCGAGCTCACCTTTGAGCATGAAATTAGACATCTTCTGTTTGGGCCACAGAAAGCCGACAATCCGAATCCGTGTTGAGGCTCAGGACAGTCGCTATCTGTCGTACATTCGGGTGAGCAAAGCGTAGAAGCTATAACGGTATAACCATGAAGCTTTTTCTAAAATGGGCACACTTGACAGAATCTTCACGAAGTTGAACAAATGAGTAAGAGTGAGATCCAACTCACAAGGGTATAGACAGGTTCGAGTCCATTGGGGCAAGTGCAGCCTTTGACACGGGGGCCGACATCCAAATAACATTTTCCAGTAGGCTCGGTGTAAATATCTGCTAACAACATTCCAACGATGACTTTTGCAAGACGAAGGTTCATACCCGAAGACGTCGTCTTCCGCAGGCCGTGGACGGAAGTAAACTCCAGTACAACAGCCATGATGAGGATTAGGTACATTACGGACAAAAAAATATTGTTGGAAAACTGAATCGCCTACATTGTTCGGAGTTCGAACTTCGGACATGTATCGGCCTTCTTCTATCAGAGGACGAGCATGTGAAGAGTGAATCGATAGCATCGCTCGTATTGTAGGCCCTAGAGAGTAGGAGGAGTCACACGGACGTTGTTAGTAACAACTTGTTACGCCCCTCAATTCCCTCTCCACACTTCATGTTGTGCTGAACAGCCTGTCACGCGACCTCACGTCACGCCATGCGTAACGTGTCGTGTGCAAGGTCAATCATGGATTCTTTGGTCACAAAGAGACCGGTGACGAAATACTGGGCAGTCAAAATCCATGGCGAGCAAGCTCAGACTCCGGGTGCGACGGAGCAAGCACCGCGCCAGATCG